GAGGCTGCTGCTGCAGATACGCAGCTGGAGGGGCAGCACCAGGATGCTGATCCTTCTGCTGCAGAAGTACGGGAGAGATGGCGGCGGCAGAAAGCTGCGCAGCGTGCGGCAGCCCTTCCTGAGCTACGGTTGTTGCAGCGGCAGCAGGATGCTGCACGGCACGCAGCTGCACGTGCTGATCCAGAGGTGAGGGTGCAGCAGCAGCTGCGTGATGCTGCACAGCATGCAGCTTCACGTGCTGACCCGGAGGTAAGGGCCCTCCAGCAGCAGCGGAACACAGCACAGCATGCGGCTGCACGTGCTGACCCGGAGGTAAGGGCGCTCCAGCAGCAGCGGAACACAGCACAGCATGCGGCTGCACGTGCTGACCCGGAGGTAAGGGCGCTCCAGCAGCAGCGGAACACAGCACAGCATGCGGCTGCACATGGATATGCCACATGCGATGTGCAATCATATGTGATCTGCAAGCATATGCGATCTGCAATCATATGCGATCTGCAAGCATATGCGATCTGCAAGCATATGCCAGATGCGATCTGCAAGCATATGCCACATTCGATGTGCAAGCATATGCGATCTGCAAGCATATGCGATATGCAAGCATATGCGATCATAGCTATGCTATGCTACGCTATGCTATGCTACGCTATGCGATATGCTACGCTATGCGATATGCTATGCTACGCTATGCGATATGCAAGCATATGCGATCATAGCTATGCTATGCTACGCTATGCTACGCTATGCTATGCTACGCTATGCTACGCTATGCTACGCTATGCTACACTATGCTACACTATGCTACGGAGCTACGGCCCACTCGCGCGAACAGCGCGCTCTAGTATATGTAATATGTATAGGATATGTATGTATGTATAAGGGATTTAATGTATGTCCTAATAAGGGAGCGAAATGTCCAAAGCGCAGCTATGATGAGATGAGCCTTAGCAGCTCATTTCTTGTGGTACGGTGGCCGAGTGGTCTAAGGCGTAGGATTAAGGCTCCTATCCGCAAGGGCGCAGGTTCAAATCCTGCCCGTATCAGACGACGACACGTCATGCGATGCATGCGCATGTCGTGCACGTGCATGGTATGTCGTACGTATGCAGGTATGTTGATTGCAACATCAATACCATATTCACCTGCTGATTTATTCAGGCAAGGAATTCCTTGGGTAGTTCGAGCTACCTAATGCGGCATATTGGGGAGAAGTCAAACCTGTATTCTAGGCATGTCAATTGCAAGCTGACATCGACAACAGAAGGCAGCAGCAGGCAGGCAACCAGCCATCTGTAGTAGCCATCCCTTATTATTGTAGGCAAATGAGTGATCACATCCATAGATGTGGATGTGATCAGTTGGCCAACTGTGCATGCATATGCCGTGTAGCAGGCCGACAGGAAGGTGTTCAACCGGTTGAGCACCTATACCTAGCTAGGTACCAGGCCTGATCATGATACCAGGCACAGAGGGTGGTCACGCAGAATTGAGGATTTAAGGGTTTGGGCACCCAGTCATCTGCAGCTGGATGTACTAGCCATCCCTTACCCTTAGGTGAATGGGTGATCACATTTTCTTTATTCAGCCGTGAAGCAGGCTGAGAGAAAGGTGTTCAACCACGGAGTATATATGGTCAAGTGGCAAAAGTAAATATCAAGATATGTGGATAGTAAGAGTCAGGAGACATAATAACAAAGGAATTTTGGTGCTAACAGAGTCTTGAACTTCAAACACCAGTATAGTGATATTTAAAGTGTCTGGCCTAAGCACCTTTACCAGGTGGATTATATATGGCTCACCTATTGCTATCTATCTACTCCATTCCTGGAGTCATGGTCTGGTGATATGATGGTCATCCTGTCGCGAGGTGTGTGTGCTTGTGTGTGCCATGGCCATATGGCCATGCGTGGCACAGTAAAACTTTAGATCATGATCACCTACGTATACGTAGGTGATGCATCACCTGGGACAGTCCCTACCTATTATA